TATATACACACAGTATATACAGTATATAAACAAATATATATATACTTAGTCTATATTTAGTTTCTATCTAAATAGAAACTAAATATGGGTCTTCTTTGGGGCAAATCAGGGGCGAAGTGAATATTACAAACAAAACTTACCAATAGAACAACTCTTTCAAGAGAATCTAAATAGTCACTTTTGTAGTCACTAGGTAAGCCACTTTGACTTCATTTTCTCTGAAAGAACTGTTCAGTTCAATTTGTCATATGACTTTTTGATGCGTTTCCAACCGTGGAATAGGTATTTGATGCAATTCTTTCTCTTTTCCTCTGTGCATTTATTACTGGCATTATTCCCGCCAGTGGCTCTCAAAGGCACTGCTTCCATAACAAAAAAAGCAGGTGTTGTGCAAGCGTGACCTCAGCACCTTGAGCAGTGCATCTGTATCTGAACATCTGGCCGATGTAATGCCGATGTAAGCGAGATGGGACGGACAGCTCACAGCTGCGAGGTCAGACAACCTTTGGCCTCTCTTGTTGATGTTCAGGAGCAGCTTCCAGCAGGGAATGCCTGTCATGTCGGTGGGCCGCTGTGGGCCCTGACAAACATGCCCTAGCTGTACCCTGACTGAGAGGAGCCATATGGCAACGGAGGCAGAACGAACATGTCCCGTGAACAAAGGTGTTGGAGCGTCAAGCGTCTGCGGCGCCATGTACCCTGATCATTACACCGCAGGTCTGGGCTCAGACCTTCCCAGCAGCCGCGTGTTCTAAACCCCCAGCCTCATTAGTGCTGGAAGAGGTACCGTAACCTCTGTTCGGGACAGGAGAGTGACCAAGCATGCTACGTGCCTCAGTGAGCCGGCGAAGAAAAGAGTACAAAAAGAGTTCGCCTGATTGATTTACATCCCCAACTTTATTACAGGGGAGAATATGATGTAAAACACCACGACAGTGCCAGATCTAAGAGCAGCCTGATTAAGGTCGACATGTGCCATCCTTACAAGGGGGGAATTTGGAAATAATGCGACAGTAATCCAGGCAGCCTGATGAAGATGAGCATGGCAGAAACCCAACTCTCTGGCGACCAGCAATTACACATTCCCTCTCTGGCACATCTTTTATATATGGAAAGTGCAACCCAAACAGAGCGAGGGCTGTTCAGAGGACAATATAAAGGGATAATGGGAAGAGAGGCATCATACATTAAAGATGCAAGGATATGCGCACTTTGACCTTGTTGCATTAACTTCTGAAATCCTAAGGCCTTGTTGCGTTTTGTAAGAAAAGCGTAACTTTCACTTGGCTGACTGCAGAGTATCCACCTATGGAAAGCAGTGAGAAACCAATAGCTTTTCTGTTGTGACCCTGTTTTCTTGGCATGTTGTCCCTGTTGGCCCAGGTGGCAAGTATTAAAACATACTATTGCTATTTGCGTCTTGTCCTACCAAGTCGAACCAAATTATTTATGCTGTGAACACAGCACACTGACCCATAGGACTAAATCAAGAGAAGTGATTATCTGATGTGGACAAGAAATCCCCACCCAATTGACTCGATCAAATTAGGTTTGATCAGAGTAGATTAACTAAAATGAAGGAGTAATGGGAAATGTGAAAGAGGTGTTTGGCATCTAAACTTCACTTGCAAGAAGCTCATTTCTGTTTGGGCAAGAAACAAAAAGTGGCAATTATTTAACCAAAATCTTATGAGCATAAGTGCTGATATTCAGATCAGCAGCATGACTGGGCATGTGATATTGCTTTTATCCAACAGTTCAATAAACAAGAGGTCAATATTCAGCAATTTACATTTTAGACAACACTACCAGTTACATTATCTCGTTTTGCTCTGCCAAAGAAAACAGTTCAAAACAAACCCAGAGCAGGATCAACCATTATGTTTCTCACGTATCTCACGAGCAACAGGCGTGTTTTGCATAAAATTAAAAAGGTTTAATTTGACTTTGTTTATAATTGTATATTTGGATTTCATGACAAAGAATGTATGGGATGGATTGAGATTCATTTTGTTGTGTCTTATAGCTATTAGGGATGTGCGGGTCTAGTCGACTAGACGGTACAGCTCCTACTAGTTGACACTGAAAACCATAGTCGATTACACGACAGAAAAAAAAATATAAACAAAAACATGATTTTATCATTCAAATTACCATCATTTTAACATTGTTTGCAAGTCTTGTGACTATCAACCATCACCAGAGAACCGTGAATATGTGGATGTGTAAATTTATTGTAATATTAACTTAATTTCATAGGGGGTACTTAAAGTAAATATTTTACATCTAAGGGGTAGGGATGTAGGGATGTGCGGGACTAGTCGACTAAACGGTACAGCTCCTACTAGTCGACACTGAAAACAATAGTCGATTACACGACAGAAAAAAAAAACCATGATTTTATCATTCAAATTACCGTCATTTTAACATTGCATTTAAAACATTTTAAATAACAAGTTAAAATAAAACGTTTGAAAAAGAATACATTATTTACAAAATTTTATCTGGGCGGAAACAAAATTTTTACCTCAGACCTCACATGCGTTTTCTTCATGTCAGTTGCGGCGAGTTCAAAAATGACCATGCGAAAGACGAGAAGGTGTGGGATTATTTTGAATTAGAAGGAAACTGAAAAGTTTTGTGTAAACTGTGTAATGTCAAATTGTCTTACAATAACTCTACTGGAGCGATGCGTAATCATATTCAATACAGGCACGTAGGCGTTAGCTTAGAGCAGTGGTTCCCAACCCTGGTCCTGGAGGCACCCCAACACTGCATGTTTTGCATGTCTCCTTAATGAAACGCACCTGATTCAGATCATCAGCTCATTAGTAGAGACTCCAAGACCTGAAATTGAT